AAACTCAATTCTATACAAGTTGTTTTTCCTTTGATTCGCCTCGCTCGCCCTCACATGACAATTCCAATTTAACCCAGGCAACCTGTCTTCCCTCTTTCGATCAAACCCACCCCCGCCCACCCCAGCTACTTCCTCGCCACCCTGCCGCCCCTTTTCCTCTTGCACACCGCACGAACGGAACAACAACAACAACGCTGGAGAGGGTCGCGGACAGACTTTCCGTCGTTTCAATCAGACATGACCGTCGTTCTCCACCGACAACCAGGAGGGAGGAAAGAGGTTGACGATGCGGATAGAGGAGAGGACAGGAGAAGAGAGAGAGAGAAGAGGGGAGCAGGGGGAGAGTTGGTTCCTGCCGGGCTCTCTCGGTTTCAGCCAATTCGTCGGCTCTCTCGAATTCAATGCATGTTTTAATGAAACACTGCTGGCCCGCTGCCCATTGTCAGCGCCATTGTTACATAGATGACTGGTCGATCGAAGGCCCCTGCGCTTTTGTACGAATCCAACCCCCTGCCCTCCCGTCACCCACTGCCGCCGTCGCCGCTACCACCCCCTTCCTCCTCCTGCCGCCCTTTCCTCTCGCGTAATCTGTCTCGTCGTGAATCGGCGCGCCCGGTGCTCGAGCCCAAGCCGGCTGCATCGCCGTTTGGGAGAAGCTCCAAAACAACGTGTAAGAAATCAACTGCACCTTGTTGCCTTCGACGACAATCGAGCTTTAACGTACGTTCGATCACTAGACCGAGGCCTCCTCGGTGAAGAACGAGAGAAATGAGGCTGAATCTAAACTCAAACAACTTTCGCTGATCGCTGTTGTGCTCGAGAATATGCAAGAGAATTGGTTACTCCACCATGTTAGATTCCTTACAAGTGCAATCACTCCATCACACTCTTCATTAATATAAACCATCATTTGACAACGTAACCTATAACAACGTGTTTCATCCGCTAGATGTTCAGTGTATCTCACGATGTGACGTTGATTTAAACATAATAATATGTGTATTTAAAATTTACCATTCTGATCTTGGAAAAAGCTTTCCTAATTTTTAGCTCGAGTGCTAAAAATTAGGAAGGCTATTGCGACAACAATACAAACGGTTGAAATCAGATGTACAGAGCTCAATTTTAAAACAACGATCCCAATTCTCTCGAATAAATTCCATTGCACGATGTCTAGCGTATTACAGACGCGCGCGCGCATACACATACATACAGCGTCACTATAACGTTATTGCGTTATTAATCTACAATTGCAGAGCGGTATGAGAAAGCATTAATGTCGCGAGGAGCGGAGAAATAATCTGCTACCGCGGCGCAATGCGCGGTCTCGATTAATTTAATTAACATCCCCCGTCGACAATAACGGAGACGACAGCGCGCGCGCGCTCTCTCTCTCTTTCTCTCTCTCTCTCTCGTTTGGACCGCGCGTTAAACGCCACCATTTATTTAATTACGCCGCTTTGTCGCGCCGTATCGCGGCCTTCGTCGGCCTGTCTTGCCTTTTTCCGACGCGACGCGAACTCTCGCTGGCGGAATGCCGCGAGCGCGGATTGGTGGCGATAAGATACGCGCCTTTTCATAACCAGCAAAACCATTGACGCGTGGCGCGCTGACTTTTTCCGTTTATAAATGCCACGAACAGCGACGAGGAGGAGGAGGAGGAAGAAGAGGAGGAGTGGTAGGGGGAGGGGGTGGTAGGTGGTAGCCATTGTCGAGGTATCATCGGCCACCCTCTATGGGAAACGGGAGTATGGTGGTGGAGGAAGCTCGGTTGTTTCATCGGCGCTGACGTAGCTCTCTCGCCTTCCCTTTCCGTGGCGGAATTTATATTCATCGAGCACTCGCCGCCGCACACCCACTACGTGTGGCATAATAATAAAAATTCCGACGCAAACTCGTCAGCGGTGAATGACGAAAGGCGACGGGCAGTCGAACGAGGTTTTATCAGTCGGCGAGGATGACTGACACAATGCGTGATTTATGCTAATTTATCTTCGCCACTTTGGACCTCGGACACGCGAGAGGGTCTTGACTTCCTTCTAGAGTGCCGTTTTAATTTCGATATATCTCAAGTGTCGAGGCGCGCACGCGCGGCGAAGACCGTTAAGTTTCGGTGATAAGAAGTAGCGGTTGGTAATCGATTAATAACGTTATCGGGTTGAAAAATCGGCTGTCGAAGATTTATCTCTAGTATTTATAATGAAGATTAACATCACATCCGCGCTAATATCGTTCGTGTGGGCGTGTATTGATCTTCATTGTCAATCAAAAAAGAAAAAAACACATTGATATATCGTTTTTCTTTTTTATGCAAAAAACAATATAAAATATGTAGATATTTGTAATAATTTGTAATGTGGTGTAAACTAGCTTTAATTTTATTTGAATATTGAATGAAAAATTACCAGTTGTGGAAAATTACACAGGCCTGCAAAAACGCCAAAAAAATAGCCATTTTAATATTTTTAGATTAAAACATCTCCGAATTCTGACGTGATAGAAACATTTGGGTGACGGATTCAGTTTCAGCACATCAAAAACCTTCAGAATCACGTACTCTGAGAACTTGGATTTAAGAAAAACTATTGTTTTGCAATTTCTGTTACCAGATGATCGACTCGCCAGTTATAGACCTATTAAACCATGACAATCCCAAAAAAGCAAAAGTGGTCTGATGACCATATGAGTAAACTCTTGAAAACTAGTCACTGACAAAAGTTATATTCACGACCTTTCCTCGTATTCACACAAACCCTCAAATTAAGTTGTCGCAAAAAGTCACAAAGAACGTCCAATTGGTTCTTCTAACGAACTAACATAAATCACATTTCGTAAACATTTTCTCAGAATTTTGCGTTTTGTATTGACATCCTGCTGAGAAACTTTTTCTTCAGAAAGCCCTTAACATCTTCGAAGAAAAGACAAAAGTAGAAAGAAGTCATGACGAGATAAATAAAAGTAACAATGCAATCGATCGTAAGGGGAAAACGATCAATAGAAATTATGATAACATCAACTACGCTATTTTGCAATAATGTATAAGAAACACATCTATGAACCTATATATGCAATTTTTTTAAGCTATTTTATTGTCAAGATAAATATCTATTAGTCCTAAGGAACATGAAACTCATCTTAAATGTGATAATTTAGATTTTAATTTAAAGTTAGACAAGAATTTTTCAGCTGAATCACGATTACAAATGCAACGTCTTACATCACATAATTCAACTAAAAAACTCAGACCTAACTTTATATTCACATCTGAGGTCCACCTAAAACAAGTTTCAGATAATAATTATTAATGTAGGACTTTATTCCTTTAGCGTATTATAGAGTCACGATAGTCATGATTTCATGAGAAACATGATAAATCCTACTTTTATCATCAAGAAAATTTTTTGTGCTGCCAGTCCGATATATAAATTTAACCGTTAACAAATTAAATAAATTTAACAATTAACGGCTACATCATCGCTTTTAATTCAATTTTACCCCACTCGTACAAAGTATACATCCATATCCAGTTAAGTTCATTAAGACTCGTGTGGTAGTCACTTCTACATGCAATATGAAAAAAGAATGAAGAGAGAGAAAAAACAACATGATTAAAAGCCACCCCGCAAGTTAACTCGCGAGTATTACCCTCCATCGCGAGGGCGACGGAAGGGTTGCTAATTTCTCTAATTTGATCGCCTACCTCCGGCCAGCCGCGGATTATCAAGGGTCGCGATGCGAATTTAAAATTCAGAGCTCCGTGCAGCCGGCACGCCGTCATAAAGTCTGTAGGAAAAGAGCGAAAACAGGTGGGAAGGAAAGAAAGAGAACGTTGTTCGGAGAAGAAAAGAAAACGCGACAAACGACGCGTGCAGGGCGCACTTCGCTGCCAGACTTCAAACGCTAATTGGCATTGAGGAAAGGTGGTGACGATAGCTAAATACGCGCGTGAAATGCGCGCGGGGGTGTTTAGCTAGACGCTCTCCTTTACACGCGGTGGTATATGCGTGCACGCGACGCGACACACGATAACTTTTCGAGCGCGGCTCGCAAAAGTCGACGGGCGCTCAAAGCAAGCCGCGAAAAGACCGTGTAAAGGTAAAAGGAGCGAGTAATTAATTATGAGGGAGGAGGAAGCGGGAATAAGAGGGCGGGCAGGAGACAGGCTATGGTAAATTATTATGGTATTATGGGTATAATTTCGTTTGCGGATGATAAAGTGCAAGCGTTTGGCACAAGTCAGAGCACGCCGAGTTAAACGCATTTTCAAGGAGCAAAGAAACTGTCAGGTTTGTGGCGTTTCATCTCGCATCTGGTACTAAATTGGTTCTTAATTCGCGGTTGAAAGTCGGACTCGTAATTCAATGTTTCGCGTGATCTTTATGTTTATCAATTTGTGTCTTGATAATCAAAATCGTCACATGTTTATATGTGTCTATGCAACTGTCTAAAGTTAACGTGAGAAGAATCTAATAAAAAATATATACTTTGCTAGGTGCTGTACGAGCATGCGTTATGGTCCCTTAATCTTTCGATTCCCAAGCGGAGCGAGCCGTTCGCCCCATAAATGATTTTCTTAGAATAATTCTGTTAGAAAATTTTGATAATTTTTGCAGTTTTTTCTAATTGATTTTTGTTATGTGCTTATAACTCATAACATGTTATGAATATATACAGCGCATTTCAATTCCATATAGAATATATTAAAATATTAAAATTATAATTATAAAAAACAACAGTTCTTGTATCATATTCTAGTTCTTTTGCCGTATTTGTTATTGCACATTTCTGCAAATAACTGAAATATTATTAACTTTCCGATTCCCAAATGACATGTATTGCTCGCTCCATAAATGATTTTTTTTAGAATAATTCTACCTAAAAAGTTTGATAATTTTTGTGGATATTTCTAATTGATTTTTAAGTTATAAGCTATTGTTTGAGATAAACAAATGCATACTATATACAATTTTTAAGAAGATGTAACTTATTTTTCGGGTCGAGTCATTCCTTTTTGGAAACTTATTTGCGAGATTAACATGGGAATCGAAAAGTTAAATTTCTAAATCCTAGCATTCCTTAAAAAATGTCACTCTTCGTGTTGTGACTTTTCTCATAGGTAATCAATGCGATTTACATCTAAACAATACATGCACTACGTAGGATGATAACGCTTTGTGAGCGTTCTGATTGGGCGCTCACCATTGCGACGTTCAGTCGTTCTGATCCAGGTCCAGGTCATCAACAGCAACCAGTCTTCGTAGCATCCAGATGTCGTCCTAGGCTAGTTGCACTTCGCTTCACATACCTACGCGAACGCGAAGATACTTTGCAACGTTTGGCGATTTAACGAAAAATAACGCGAGAAATTACAGCGCGTTGATAATGTATACTCATGATTCGCGAGTTGCGTGGAAAAAGTCATGAATCATAGATCACGACATTTGCAATGGGATCAAAAAGAAATAAGATATTGTTCCGCGGATGTTTATATTTTATCAAAGAAATTGTGTTCCTATTTTGCAAAAATTCTAACTTCTAATTTCAACTTTGAGCTTCATGCTGCAATTTTAAGCAAATATACGAGTAAATCGTAAAATCGTAGCTTATATAAAGAAACAAAAAAAATCGTAGATATTTACGAGTCATCATACGGTCCACATAAAATTGCAGAACTACTCATAAGTTCTTACGAGTCTTACGAAAACAAGTTACGAGTTTTACGATTTTGTCTAGAATTGCAGTATTAATTCGACTTCAACCGAAATAACATTATAATTACGTGTAAAAAAAATTATGAAACGATCACGATGACTATAAAATTTATCGCGAGTAAAATAAATCACGAATTCCGCGTGTATTGAGCAATTATGATGCACAATTCTAGTGTACAACTCTGGTGCACGATTCAGGCGCACAATTGTAATGCATCATTCTGACACTACTCTGGTGTGTATTTTATATCGCTTGAAACAATTGGAAATCACATAAAATAAATTGAAAGAGAATCTTAAAAACTGGTACCTTCAAGAAAGAAATATTTTTGTCGGTTAATTTTTTCATAAGATATCGTTTAAAGCAGTTATTTACAAAAACTCCGATTGTTTCAAGCGATATATTTTCACGGACAGCATAAAAAAATACATATAAAACCCAACACTGAGAGAAATGCGTTTCGTATTTGTTGTTGTATAATGAAACAGTTATAGTTAGAAAATCCATTTTTGTAGTAACTGCAACTATCAATGCTAATGTTATCAATAACAACTTTGTGCGCATATTGTTACCACATGTCTTAGAATGAAAATATAACTCTAAAGTCGAAAATTACTATAATCTGCAATGAGATTAATTATTTCTTTTTCTCTCAGTGTATAAACACACATGCAAAAATCTCTACAAACTAATTAAATCGCATTGATTGGTTGAATCATATAGCGTTAACTCCCCTTGGTATAAATGACTTACCGGCTGATGGCAATCAGAAGATCAGGATCGGTCATGTTCCGCAGATCTAACAGATTCTAACAGATCTTGAAATAAAAATATAACACTACCGATTAGATATGATAATCTTGATGACAAAAGTTTGCCTGAATAATTTTTTGTTAACGTTGTAACTCAACATTTACATGGACAATTATATCTCAGTTTCTATTATAAAAAGTTAAGTGCAAGAGTACAAAAAATCTATTAAAAAATTCCCGAAAATAAATAAATATAAATATAAATTTAAAAAAAAACTACCTTCGAATCGATCCTGCTCGGCCCGAATCGGATCCTCCGATACAGCATTCGCACACATCCACTATATAGCCACAATCTGAAAAAAGCAAGTTTCTGTTTAGTTATATCGATAACGTATCAATACGAAAAATCGAAACAGTATATTTATATTTCTAATAAAATAATTAGCAGGAAAAAACAAATTGAATATTTAGATCAGATACTTTTTAATTTGAAAAAATTAGTTAATTTGAATTAAAATGAAAAATAAGAGTTGGTAGTTACTCTCAAGATTCGAGGATGTTGGTCAGGAGTACCGTAGCACACTAATCGCACATATAAATTAATGTAACACGTCGCATACACACTGCGATCGATTCGAATAAATCGGAAATCGCGCGCGATGTCTTCCGATCCGGTTACTCTCGCGTCAAGGACTCTTATGAGTCCTTAGATATACTCGGCACTTAGGTATATATCTGGTTCCGAGGTCACATGACCTTAAGTCGGAAGATGAGACGAATTTGAAACTACTGTTACATTATTGACTTCAATATTAATGTTACTTATGTTTGATAGTTAGATTTATATTTCTCCCGACATTCAAACCGTCAAAATATATGACTCCCACGATAACAACCAATAACGGTCTAAGAAAACAAAGACTCACATTACGATCAAAAGGCATCACAAAAAACAAATAACACATAATAAATATAATTAATATAAATAATTAAACCGAAATAATAGAAAGCTCCTCGAATAGATTAACTAATAGTGAAATTTGAAACGGCACATAAGGAGCAAGCACGGATGTCTTAGTGCTATTAAATACTAATATTACTTTTTAATATTAATATGATATCTTTCGATATTAGCATGTATCGATATTTGGGTAGGAATATCGAACTTACGATACAGTCCGTGTACAATTAATGCCCAATTTTTTCACCTCCAGTTAACTTTATCTATCGGTTAAATGTCAACCGTGATTGGTTAATTCTTGCCACTATAAATATGATTGATCAATTCCAATAGAATAACTGGCAGATAAAATTAACCAGAAGTGAAGAAATTGGGCATAAACAAGTCCTCTGACAGATGTCTCACCTAAACTCTATATTTTCCCTATATTTTCCTTAAAATTGGTAATGTTGGGGTATCGACTAAATAATCCTTGGAACCAATAATAAACACTGATACAGTCAGTAAAGTAGATTGACATATTCTATTGGACGGAAATGCACAAAATGTTTTTAATCTTTTATGTTAACAGATCTAGAAAAAGGAAATAAATGGTCACTGATCTTTCTACTGACTTTTCATTGGTTGAATTTTGTTTAATAAGAAAGGGAATAATAACGTATTTTTACAAATTGAAAACTTCCTCAACATGTTACAATATAATAACATTACACTATAGGTACGTAACATTGAATGTAATCATATGTTAAACCAATATATCAACTCATGCATAAATAAAATTAATATTATTTATAATTATATTGCGGTATGTTGAAAAAGGTTAGATGATATCGATAATATCGATATCAATACATTCCACCTAATATTTTTTATATATCGATACTTTTATTTACGATACGTTTTGATACGAAATATCGATACTTTCTACTGTATCGCCCATCCCTAGTGGAGAGGTTCCAGGTTCGAGTCCTGGCAGAGGCAGTTTTTTCGCAACATATATAATGAATCTATTTGAGTCATCGGTTTAATGGGGTTTGGGATTTTAATAAAAAAAAAAATATATATATATATATATATAAAAATTGGGACTCAAGAATCGGCCTAAGTATGGAAGGTTGATTCTCCGCGTACGATAATCGAAGAAAAAATTTCGATACGTGCGTTTAACATACTGGACAATTTTATCCTCCCACAATCATATTAATATTAAAAAGTAATATTAGTATTTAATAACACTAAGCATCCGTACTTGCTCCTTATGTGCCGTTTCAAATCTCACTGTTTAAAAAATAATTAATATAACACAATTAAATAAATAATATAACATATAATATAACATATTTTTTAAGATAAAATTCCCTATTTAATTTAACAAGAATTCTTTTTGCTGGTTAATTGTTGACTGATTTACAGCTCACAGGATAAATAAAGAGCGCGCAAGAATTTATTTTGCTCCCAAATTAATTGAGCTCCCAAATCCGTGATAATGGAGATTCAAACGTTTCAAGACTTAAAATAATGCATGAAAAGTTTTTCGCGGTCGCGAAAATCCTAAGGAGAGATGCCCAGCAAGGGGGAAAGGTCGCATACAATTTCACAGCCACACACTTCGACTTGCCTCTCTATTCATTTTGAAGACTAAAGCACTCACGGAAGGACGCGCATGAAATAAGATGAAAAAAGCTCAGACAAGGATAACAAGAAGAAAGGAGGAAGAAGCAGACGTTCCCTCTGATCTCGCCCTCAGTTTTTTCCCTCTCTTCTTCTATTTACATGTCTCTGCCGTAACGGTTTCGACGCTTATTCTGAGCCAACACCTCGTTATTCTTACGATGTGTTTTCAAACTTTCCCCCTGAGTCGACTGCTGGGGAAACCTTTAATTAAAGGTAACTAAAGCGCCAGAGACAGGTGCGAAGTATGAATAAGTCGACGAATTGCAATACTACAAAGAGACTTTGTAAGATAGATTTCAGATAATTATGGAATTTTCAAGACAATTATCTTGAAAATAGAAGCCGAAAATATTTAAAACATTTGACACTTTCTAATTATAAAATTTCAAAATTTCACAAATTTTCTCCAGGAATTTGAAGTTCTTGAATATTGAATTTTTAGATTTCGATGCAAAAATTTCTTTCTTTCCGCCTAACAAAATCAACATTAATTTCGTGATAACGTAGCTCCAATAATTATCGTAATTAACAGAACTAAAACTTAGTACCTTGACATTATATTACAGAGCAGTCGCGGTCCACGGGATGCATATATTTCTGAAAGCAACCTCGGTGAAACGCCAGTGGAAAGCTGGCTTTCTGACAATCAGAATGACAAGTCACTACGGTGTAACGTGTACGAGAAACGAAACTGTGCGACATTGTCTGCCGCCGCAACGCGTGCAGGCTGTCGGACATTTACTTAATTAGAGGAGCAGACTGCGCGCGACTTCAGCGAAGCAAGAGTTGTATCACGATACAGCATTGTGCGTCGCATCGAGTCAGGTCAGGTCGCGCAGTCACAGTTCGGCGATCAGAAAAACGCGATTTCTTTTGCACGAAACGGTCCTTCTGGAATCGCAGGTGACTACAAATCGTATCTGGCAGGGAAACGTTGCGGAAGTGGACGTTGTGAAAGAGTTGGCGCGCAGACTATCTTGCAATCTATTGACTGCTCAAGCTCATTTGTTATTATTGATATCCAAACGTTAATTTGACGAAATGAGAACAATTAGCTAATTGAGAAGACTAAATACGCCGAAGAATTAAAGCTCTTGAGATGTTAAATTTTCGAGAATATCTCACTGGAGCAGAGAATTCTAAAGTTCTACAGCTGGAGAATTCCAGAATTGCTAACTTTGTTAACTCCAAATGTCAAATAGTTAAGTTGGTCAAAGTACTTAAAAATTACTGATAAAACACAGAATGACATACGATTTGTCAGTTTTTCCCAACTCCTTTTTTGACGGAAAAAGAAAGGAGTAGGAATGGTGCACCTTGAGTGAGATAAATCGCGTAATACGCCAATACAACATCACGAATACGTCAATATAATCAAACAGTTGCAAATGCAACTTTTAAGGAAAAGCTCCTATGTTACGAAGACAAAACTGAAAATCCATATTTCCGCGAAAATATAGGATGCTATACAAATCTATCAAAAATGACATCGAAGAAAAGGCAGAATAGTCTATGTGACAATAGGCTTACAAGTCATCCGAGTAGTCTGACAAAGGCGTGTGGAAAATCGTCACGGACACAATAAAAGAAAACGTCGGATCGCGTCGCGGGACAAAGCCATCTAAAGTGGCTACATGTTGCACACCACCGTCGCACAAATACCCGGATGTGCCCGTCCCAAGACACGGATTTTGCTTTCGTGAGATATCTAAAGAGGTTTTTCTTGGCAGTGGTTATCCAGGTGTATCGCGAAGGTGCATTTGTTTCGGATCAAATGCCTACCTGAGATATTTACGCACAAAGGTAAAACGCCCCAGGGATGCACGACGACATTCACGCAAGGGAATTTAAAGGTTTTCTTCAAAAATAGCAATCACGGAAAACATAAAAAAGAGCGCAAATGATCGGATTCGGATCCAAAATACCGATACTACACAATACTACAAAGTATAGCGCCATTTCTTATTCTCCCTCCGCTACTTCGAAAACTTTGCTAAGTGAAAACACCCCGGAAACGCTACTAAGATACACGCCGTGAATTTACACGCTTATTGCCAAGTTTCTGCGAGTTATCCAAATAATTTGAATTATTCGTCACTTCGAATTGTTCACGGGTCAGATTCTGCTCGGTGCACATTGCTTTCCGTGGGATTAAAATGCTCATAAAACAAACCCCTCTTGAAATTAGAGCGGTTCTTGCGGCTCTCTAGACATACACACGTACACACATACACCGGCATGTGCTCTCTCGCGTATTACATTCATACATGGCCCCTCTTGCACGATATAATGTGTCCTTTCCCTCCACCTCTCGTGAAACTAACACTGCGCATTACCATGACAATGGCTAGATTAAAAAGGAAGGGGTGTGGATGCAGAATGGTCGTATGGGGGGGGGGGG